CCGGATTAATTGGTGCACTGGACGATCCGGAACTTGATATCGGTTGGTTTGGAAGCGAAACACGAGGACCTTAAGAATTCAGATATTAAATTTGAGCAGATCATGATGTACGTGCCTGTGGATCGCTGTGGGATCTCAAGGGGCGGTCCCATTAGACCCGATGGAATGGCCGCAATCCGGCCTCCACGAGATGCGTCTGCGAATGCTCAGTCAGAAGCAGGGTATAGAACAAAAATAACATACCTCCAACGCGTCCTTGGATGTTCCTCTGCCGGATAGATTCTTTCTCGCCTTCCAGATCGCCCCGGAACGTTGCTGCACAGATTGTGATTGATAAATTGCATCAGTTTTAGCATCTAAACGTACCTCGGACCGAGCTCGAGGCTTTCCTTGCGTAATGCGCATGGCAAGCTGCACACACAAGCCTGCCACCGGAGACAGCAGAAAGGTTCTCCACCCGGAAGCGAGGCTGACCGGGCAAGATCAGCAAGCCCTTTGTGAGATCAGAACGGTCGCGAGTGTAGCATCGGGCTCCAGTCTGGCACACAACGGGCTCCTGATCAGAACTATCATCGGTGAAGTTGGCAAAGAGGGTTGATCCAGACATGATCAGAGCACCAGTAGGCGACGATTAAGTCCCATTTTGTGAGACGCTTTTAAGGCCTTTGAGCGTCAGCAATTAGTAGTGGGTCGACAATCTCGGCTGTGTTGCCAGAGTGCTCCCCCAGGCTCGGTAAGACTGCCTCGGTCTCAGTAAATTTCACGGTGTGTCATGGATCCTCAGTTCTTAATCAACGTGTTTGGTGGAATGGATGTAGCGCCTTAAGCATGTGCCCGGCCGCACTAGGGCTCCGCCAATTACTGGGCTGTTAAACCCTTGAATTTTCCGCGGTGGTATGCAACGAGCACAGCAAGCGCTCAACATGTGCGATTTCAGTGTTGATGCTGATGTTGAATTTATTACTGCCGCCCTGCGTGTTCTCAAGCGAGGCCCTCGTTGAGAAACAACGACTCACCAAAGTACATGCCTGGGAAGTTGCACTACCGGACAAGGAGAATAATTATATCAATTGGGATCCGATCCGAAATGATATCTAGGTTTGTAAAAAGTCCTTCGGTTATCAACATTAACATTATCAACATGAGTTGAAAATAACTCCGATCAGCAACGTTTTTGTTTACCCTGACTTTCTAAGTACATGCATATGCCTTCCACTCCGTACTACCGCCGTACCCAGCTCGTTGATCGTGTTCTCAGATCGCCACTATAAAGTGAGTCCTGGCTTATTCGCACTCCAACAGAAGCTCCTCCTCGGTTCTTTTGTGCCACCAGCGGTCTCATAACTCTCTGAATGCCCAATCAGTACAAGCCCGTTCGTACGTGTTACACTTCCAACTGTTTCACCTTGCCCTTGCTCTGGAACGTTCACAGCTAATGCTGAAGACCTCCGTCCTTTCATCGAGAAGTACTGGAAGCAGAACAAGAAGGATGTCGAGATCGTCGAGCTGCTCAAGAAGTATCACATCGATCTCAACAAATACGGCCTCGAGTGCGTGTATATTTGTGTCTTCATTGTGCAGGCTACTAACCGCTCTCAATTAGAGTTCAAACATTTAGAAAAATTCGCGAGAAGCTTGGTTTCATACGCACGCGGCGTCAAGGCCACACCGTGGACACAATTGGGGTATTTATTGTCAAACTCCGTCCGATCTATCCCAAGGCTGGCGGACGGGAGATGGTTAGCTTGCTATTACACGAGGAGAATGTGCGCGTGTCCCGGTGTGTGATCCCTCCAATTGTGTTCTCATACGCTCACATAGGTATGTTTCTAGCGAGACTGTAATGCGCTATTTTCACACTCATGAGCCCGATCTTGTTCGTGAGCGCCGACGTGGACACTTCAAGTGCAAGCAGTTCTGGGCAGCGGGTGCCAACGATATATGGGCTGTAGATCAGCACGACAAATGGAAGTATAAATTCGGTTTAGCGCTACACACTGGGATTGACCCATTTCTCGGCATGATTCATTGGTTGAAGATTTGGTGGAACAACAGCAATCCCCGCCTTATATTCAGCTATTATCTGGAAACCGTGGAACGGCTTGGGGGTATGTGCAGTATTGATCTCTTCGGACTTATATTCACGACGTTTTTATCGCAGTCATCCCACTTGTGACCCAGAGCGATCCTGGGTCAGAGAACGTGGGGATTGCGAATGGACACACACAGCTGCGTCACTATCAGGACCCCTCACTTATCGGCACCTCTCAGCACCGTTGGATGCGAAAGAAGAAGAACATCATGCCGGAAATCACATGGAGTCAGATGCGGCGTCGATTCACTCCTGGCTTTGAAGACATCCTCGACGTTGGTGTAAACGAGGGCTGGTACAATCCGGGAGTTCTACTCGAAGCGTGTGTATCTTCCTTACTTTCAAAGCGATCTTCGACTTCTGAATCACAGCGCAGCTTAGTCTTCCGTTGGGTATTCATCCCGTGGCTTCAGGGCGAGCTCGAGCTGTATCGGCATCGCGTGAACAATACCGCAAAGCGCTGTGATCGTAACAAGATCCTTCCTCACGGTGTTCCGACTAGCATGTTTGAGTTCCCAGAGGATTACGCCATCCTCGATTTCAAGGTACGAGTCCAATTTCATCAAGTACAAGCCACTAACTACTAGTCCCTTACAGATCAAGGTCGATCCTATCGGTATTGAAAAAGTCCGACAGATGTACGCACCACCTGATCATGACGTCTTTCTCCTTGTTCCCCCTGACTTCGAGATCGCGATCTTGGATATCTATGCAAAGCTTAATAGCCCTATTGTGGACCGGGACTCATGTTGGGATGTATATCTCCAGCTCCTGAATTGCCTCAAGGAGTTGGATCAGCTCAACGATATCGATCAGAGTGCCGATGCAAGGTGGGGGCATGTGCTGACCCAGCCGGTCGATGAAAACATTCCCCTTCTCCCAAACTTGCAGGAACTGCGGGGCGGTGAGGGGGTCGTCGGAGAGGGTGCTTATTATATGGGTGGAGTCAACAATGGGGATGGTCTCGGTATGTTCCATTACTTGGGAACCTTACTGTTCACTGACTCGTCTCCTTTTGGAGGTCCTGAACATCACGCATGTCTGAACGCAATGATCAACGATATCGAGCCCGAAGTGGATCCCATGCCCAACTCCCAGTTACCGGATGACGCTCACGCATTGTACGCATGGTTCTCGGACGAAGAAGACTCTCAGGATTTCAATGATCATTGGTAGTACATACATGCTGACGAGCAGTGATGCGCCCTAGCCCTGAAATCAATCGATCACGTGCACGAAAAGATCCAATGGATTTGTCAGCGAGCTCGTCAAGGTTGTTGCACGTGATCATTTGATCAATCTATCACGTGCACTGAAAGATCTCAATGGATTTGTCAGCGAGCTCATCAAGGTTGTTGCACGTGATCATTCTGATCATCACTAACGAGCGTTCGGGGTCCAGACAGAGCGCATCATGACATAGAGCGCATCATGACATTGATGCCATGTCGGCAAACTTTCGCGTATCAGTGATATGTCCTCCGCTTATCAGCATATAATTCCCGGCCTCCATACACAAATGGTGCGTCGCTTTCTGCGGACGGCGCTCGTTGGCGGTGAGACGGGCGCAGTGATTGTTACGGGGACGTCCCTGAACGGAATCGGATTCGAGACTGCGCAGGCCATCGCGCGACATGCCAACCTGGTTGTGATCACTGGGTACAACGGGGAGCGGTGCGTTGCGCCGGCCCCGTCGAGGTGACGCTTCCTGAATCAATGCCACCTCACAGATTGAAACTGACCGAAGCCGCAATCAAGAAGGAAGTCCCCCACGCCAACATTCGCACCCTCATCCTTAACCTTTCGTCCCTCGCCGCTGTGCGCATCGCCGCAGCGGAGGTCAACGCCTACGAAGAGCCGATCCACGTCCTGATCAACAACGCCGCGGCCCCGATTGGCCCGTTCAAACTGACCGTCGACGGACTCGAGAATCAAATGGCCACGGACCACCTGGGCCCGTTCCTCTTCACCTCGCTCATCGCCCCGAAGATTCTCGCTGCGCAGACGGCGGACTTCACCCCGCGCGTGGTATTCGTGTCGAGTGCTGGGCACGTGCGGGGCAAGGGTGTCGACTTCAGGACGCTAGGCCAGCCGGACCCAGAGACGTACGAGGCGTTCGACGCGTACTTCCAGGCCAAGTCCGCCAACGCGCTCACTGCGGCCGAGCTCTCGCGGCGATCCGGTGGGAAGATCACAAGCTACAGTCTGCATCCCGGAGGTGCGGCAGCAGCTCACGCATGACTGAACAAACGCACACACAATGTAGCCGTCGCAACGAACATCAACGCCAAGCCGGAGTCGCTCGAGGCCTTCAAGGCCCTCGGGATTCTCTTCGCGGATGGACAGCCGAACACGCGGGACTACACGTGGAAGACGATCCCTGAGGGCGCGGCTACGAGCGTGGCTGCGGCGTTCGATCCGCGCCTCGAGGCGTGCCCCGGAGCGTACCTGAACGACTCGAACGTCGCGACCGACCAGCTCGCGGCGCACACTGCGGACCCGGTGAGTAGCTGCGCCGGCTAAAGACTACTCACACGCGGCTGTTAGTCCAATGCTGCTCAATTGTGGGATTTGTCGGAGGAGATTGTTGGGACCAAGTTCGATTTCGAGTAGATTCAGAAGAGACCCAGGACGGGGTATCTTGTTGTGTTGTCAAGTCCGTAGGGCTGAGATTGGCAGCTTAGTCGGACGTTTGGAGAAGGGCTGAGTGTGATGTCATCCACACACTGTTCGATATCCGCGGAGCATGAGTTGCATTCGGCAAACCCGCCAAGTGTCATAGAGGGGATTGAGTGGCGAACTAAGCGCGATTGAACGCACCACGAGATACGCCTGAAGTATTCGAACGTGGTCACGGGCGTCGAAGATATTGCATGCCTTGGCTTGACACAAACTCACAAACTCAAAACCGTCACAGATTCCTGATCAATAGAATATTTCAGACTGGTGGGAGCACAATCATTAATGTGAGTGGTATAAGTATCTAGGAATCGTCATGGCATGTCGTGATGAATCTCCAGGGCGTCTAGTACGTCCCCGCCGCGCCGCCACGTTTGTGGCGGCCATATCTGCGCCCGCTCTTCCGCGAGCCGAAGCACCTGCAGCACACTGTCCCGTTCGTCGTCAGCAGAGGCTCAGGCTGGATCAGGAAACAAAAAGGACGCACGGATGTCGACGATGACGTCGAATATTGTAACGATGACGGTGGTGATGGCACCGACGATGGTCTCGAGGACATTGGCAATGGCGCCGATGATGGCCATGATGCCGCGGCCAATAGCAGAGAAGATAGAACCCTAGAATAGGTTAGTGAGTCTCGTTGTGTAGACTGAATTTGGAGAGGGGACCAACCATAGTGTTTAGATGGTGTTTATTGAGGGGGAGAGGACTGGTCGGTATGAGTTCTGCTCATGAATTTGGACGTGGTATATATACGCCCGCTCGGAACCTGTAGGATGACGTTCACACAAGCTCATCCTTTTCCTGCGTCGGCAATACTACGCCTTTACGCACCTGTTGAGCGCATAGCACGGAGCGAGAACTGGCTGTGACATCATCATGACACGCTCTCCCATGCGATTTCAGCCACAGCGTGAGAACAAACACAGACATGTGGGCAACAAAGTTATTCCGCGTTCAGGACTCACTGATGTCTCCGAGGCGATCACAGCTGGGTGTACGACGCGAGAGGGACAATAGGAAGAGAAAGATATGTGATATTCAGAATGAGATCTATGTACATTGCTCGGAATCTGGCTGTTTTACCTGAACTCGGAGAAAACACAGACCAAAGACCGATTACACCCCAAAGGAAGAAACAGCTAAGATTTGTACAAAAATGACCCCTACCCGAGTTGAACGGATGACCTTGTGGAACCAAGCGCTGGAATCACACATTCTACCACTGAACTAAGGGGTCCATGCACAGCCTCCTCGCGTACGTCATCCAGTCCCCAAAACTGATGGGAAGATCGTCGACGCCTCCGCTGCACCGGCACGTAACCTGCCCGCGGATTCACAGGTAGAATCCGGCTTAATCACTCTCTGGACCCTCCTTCCTATGGCCTGCAACCGGTGAAACGAAACAGGGATCCCACGTTGGTCTTCGGTTAGCGCCATGCGACGATCTGATCGCTTATGGAGCTTCCCTCTTCGTCTCGACTCCGATGTGCATGCACGTTGCTACGATATCGCTTCTGTGACTGTTTCTGCCTGTGCTGGCGGGGTGCACCCTGAGACGCACAGCTCTGCAGAGGAACCGACGCCTCCAGGGCCGAGAGATGCTACCCGGGCTTCGAGACTCTCACAAGACGAAAGAGAACACATCTCTTCCTGACACGCGCATGGTCATATGTGATGGAAACGGACGATCTCTGCATACCAACCTACTAAGTATAAAGCTCGCGTCGTTAGTGCAGGCTTCTAGGATCTCGGCTTCCCCTTCCTTTCTTGCCTTGCCCCCATGTACGGCCTCTCTCTGTCCCTGCTGCTGCTCGTCCCGGGCGTGCTGTCGGAGCCGCTCCGGGGTCTGCCAGTGGAGAAGCGCCAGAGTGACTCGTACCGCACGCTCACGACGGCAAGCAACCCGGACTGGATGATGACCGTGTCGGACGGCGCGTCCCTCGGGGCACTGTCGATCCCTGGCACGCACGAGTCCCTGGCGTTGGTCGGCGGCGATATCACAGAATGTCAAGGTGCGCAGATGCGGGGTTGCGCTGGCCCCTCCTGCTCACCCGCCATTCCCAGAGAACCTCGGAACGTCCGCCGACACACTGACGGCGCAGCTGAGCGCGGGCATCCGCATGTTCGACATCCGGCTACGCATCGAGTCGGGCAACACGTTCGTCGTGCACCACGGCGCGGTGTACCAGGACGCCAACTTCGACGACGTGCTGACGAAAGTCAGCGCGTACCTCTCCGCGCACCCCACCGAGGCCGTCCTCATGCGCGTCAAGCAGGAGTGCACGGGCCAGATCGGGTCGTGCACGGACGTGTCCGGCCAGGCGTCCTTCGTGGACATCTTCGACATGTACACCGCGCGCTACCCGAACGCGTTCTGGGCGCCGAGCATCAACCGCAACGCCGCGCCCGGCACGCCGACGCTCGGCGCCGTCCGCGGCAAGATCGTGCTCGCGGTGATCAACGGCCCTCAGGGCGGGCGCACCGACTCCTACGGGCTGGCGCAGTTCTCCGGCTGGAACGACGGCGACTCGACGTACATCCAGGACAACTACAACGTCCCCGACGTCGGCGCGATCGCGACCAAGCGCGACCAGGTCCGCCGCTTCCTCGACGCGTACAACGCGCCCGGCGCCGATTTCGGCAGCATCTTTGTGAACTTTGGCTCCGGCTCCAGTCTATTCGCGTTCCCTAACCAGGTCGCCGGCGGGGCTTTCGGTGTCCAGGTATGTTCCTGTGTTCTCTGGTGGTGTGTTGTGGGTGCTGACTACACACGCGCAGGGCGTGAATCCGTTTGTCGAGATCTACCTCGGTCAGGGAACAGATGTCCACCAGGCAGTCAAGCGCACTGGTGTTCTCATGCTGGATTTCCCCGGCGGTGGGCTGATCAATAAGATCCTTACGTTCAACGCAGGCCTGTAGTCTCACGTGGAGGTCAAGACGATTACGATAAAGCAGATACCTGAAATAGTATAATGACTTGCTATACTGCATGGAAGCAATTGAGATACGTCTAGTCGCTCTCGATGTCGAGTAGATAGAACAGCTCCACTCAGGGGATCATTGTTATTCCATCCATGGGAGTACTCAGCTTACTGAACCTACAAAAGATTTATCAAGTCTTACCTGGATGGTAATCATCAGTATGACGAGTCGAGGGCTCCCTCTATCAAGACCAGATGTCATCGAGAGACGGAACCAATCAGATCTCCTAGTACCTACTAGCTCAGCTATTGCCTTGCTTGTCAAGGCTTCTCCACCCTCATAATTGTCCTGATTCCGTGTCACGCGGTTTCTGCCGACTCTCCGTTTTCTTCCGTAGGCAATCCGTGCGGTCACGCGTTCGAACCTAACTATGCCCTCTCACATTTATTTACAATGATACTGCGTCGAGCTTCTAATATATCATGTGCAGGCCCAAAAATTGTGAGTCAATGATCAGCATGTAAGCAAGGCTTCTGCCGACGTAGTCGGCGCTCTAGTCCAAGATCGGCCGAGACAAAGCAAGTCGATGGCTTTGAAGCGATCACATCAATGATCACACCCTAAAACAGCATCCTGACAATCTACCATCTTTGCAATCTCGGGTTCCTGATCCCATCCCAGCCGACACACGCGTGCGCGCTGCTCAGACTAGTGGGCGTGCAAAGCGTAGACAACGACTCTTCGCACCAGCGCACACCACGTCCGCTGCACAACCCGCGATGGATAACAACTCCTCGCGACACCGACCCTGAAATTGACCCCGAAACGAGACTGAGCGGATGCGTCAATCACCCATCCATCCATCCCAGGACTTCCCCCTGATCTGACCACGTCGCGCAGGGTCTTCGCACCCACGCATGGGGCCACAGGGCTGTTCCCGCATCCCCTGTCCCTCCCTTGTCTCCGTCTCCCCCACCTCCTCTCCGCCCCAGCGCCGCACGGGCCCATGGCGCACCCTTACAGCGGCTCCGCAGGGTACATCCATGCGAACGAGGTGCGTCTGCGGGGCACTGCGCCGGAAGTGATGTTGCTGAGCCCCTCTTGCAGTACCCCTTCACGCCGATACAGGAGCGGTTCAGCGGCGGACTGCGGAGCCAGGCATCGGTGCGTTCAGCCCACCCACCACCCACAGCTCCCTCTCTCCCTCCCTCGCACGCACACTGACGCGCAACGCAGACCGACTCACTCTACCGGCGCAACACGACGTGGTCCGCCGACAGCCACACCCTCGCCTGGACCGGCACGCATACCCAATCAGGCACCACCCACACGCAGTCCTCCTCCTCCGACGTCGATGCGCCGCCCGGCCCCCGCCAGCCCCCGAAGACGACGACGAAAGTGACGCTCGTGCCGGCATCGGCGAAGCGGAGCGTGCCCACGCGCAATGGGCTGCACCCGTATGCGCACCAGGGCCTCAAGTCGTGGATCGACACGGACGAGGACGACGAGCGGGATGTACGGGAGCAGGTCGCTCGAGGCGCTGGGAACCAAAACGATGCGTCTGCACCCGGGCATCAGGCCCGAATCGCGACGACGGGCCCCAGAACGAAGAAGGGCGGCAGAGTCCCATGGCGTTCTCTCGGCATCCCCTCGGCCGCCGCCGCTCCGCCTCGCAGACCAGTGGCTGTCCAGACACCTGACGATCGGTGGCTCATAGGCGTCCCATACGATGCACGGACGCCGGACCTGGAGAAGGAGGAAGAGAAGCGGCTTGTGCGCCGAGCCGCATCATGGAAGAGGAAGGTCCAGGTATGTGTCAATAGCGCTGATGAGTGCGGGGCAGCTGACGGGATATGGATCCTCAGCGACGTGTCAAAAAAGCCCTGCGGCGACTGCGACGACTTTTGTGAGCCCGTACGTGTTGGCTAAGGACGTTTTCTAAACATAATCATGATAGATACCCGAACCGCACATTCGATACCCCAATCTCTGAAACGACCAGATAGCTAGCCAGCTATTTATGTATATATATATACCTACCTGTGTGTATCGTACCACAATCGACTTTCATTCTGCAAACTCACCAATATTCACGGAGGACCAGTTCTGTTGGGATGCTGGAATGCGAGGCTTGTGCAGCGCACGATGTTGTCAGGACCAGGGGACCGTCGATTGACGATGAAAACACATCGGTCAAGCTGCAATTTTTTGCCAAGTGTTAGGATACTTGCATCGTGTGTGTTGTGCCTAAGCATTACGAGGAGGGATGTGATATGCTACAGATATTAATACAGACACCGAAATTCATAAGAAAACCTAATACGGGTCAAGCGCCATCCATTCATCGCTCTTGCCCAAAAATGCATCCCACTGCTCAACCCCATTCGCTCTAAATCCCGGTCATTAGAGAAGCGAGCACACAAAACCAAGCTGACGCACGCGATATCCATGGGTGCAGTCCACAAGTTCATCAGGTTGTTGGTTTCATTGGCCCCAAACCTCGGCCACAGATATTCGCTCGTGGGGAGCTCGCCCAGAAGCTGCTCTATCGTGACGCCGGGAGCGAGGGTCACCATGGGCTGCTGCTCCGGCGGCCGCAACTCTCTTAGTTCTTGCAGCATGTCCACGAAGCGCCCGGCCATGGCCCAGCTGACGTAATTCAGTTGAAACACAAAAACACTAGATCAAACTGAACACTCACCGAGACTCGGCAAATTGGAGCACATCCATCCCGTTTTGCACAAGCTGCGAGTCCTTCTCCGTCTGTCGAGCATGGCCGGCGGCTTTGACTCTCAGCACTTTGCTCGTGAGTACGAGCGCTGCGACGAAAATCGGATTCTGATCTCTTGAGATCAGTCCAAGTAATTGTGGTCTAGTGAAAGCACGGACCAAAAACTCATAGGGCGCCGTGGTCTTCAGCGTCGGCTGCCATTTTACACAAGCCTTCAGTATTGCACGCGCAGAGCCTAGACAGATCTCCGTCGAGGGCACCGCGGTGCTCCGATTGGCGTTTCGATACGGTCTATGGATCTATGGAGCATAAGTGGAAGGTCGGGCTTTTCAAATGGCCTGCTCACAATCATCATGACGTAATGGTAGCTCATGAACAGCAGCGCAGATTGATTGAACAAGACTGGATCGGATTGCGCGATCTCGGAATCCCAGCGCACTGCAGAAGCCGGTTAGTTATATTTCCAAAGGCGAGGCAGAATCGCACTGACAATGCGCAGGGACAGAGCTGAACCAAGCGTTCATCGCCGAGTCCAGTTCAGCCATCGATTGACATTCAGCTTCGGCAGTGTTCCAGCCATTCTTTATCTGCGTTTTCTTCGATGCATAGAGACGTTGGTGGGCGTTGTACAAGATCTGCGGGGTGAATACCATCATTCAGTTCAATCCCTACAGTGAAATATTCGCGACTCACCTCGCAGAGACTGCAGTTGTACACTAAATACGAACTGATGGCCAACTTGTTGTGCGGCTGATAGAGGTCTGGTCCCCAAAATTCGTCATCCACCTCGAGGGGTGGGGCCATATCATAGCTACAGATAACTATCAGAAACGCGGAGCTAGTAATCGACCGAGGTATGACTCACTCTTCGATCCGAAGGATGGGCCTCCGTCCGACATACGCGCATATGGTTGCCTCCGTGGTGAAGCAACACCTGCACCAAAAATTACGACGCCAGTCGTCTGAGCACTCGAACATGCGCACCAGAACATCCGGTTCCACATCTCACATTCATAATCGAACTGTCCGACCACACGTTTTTGCTTCAGTGACTGACGTCCCTGGAGAACCCGCATAGCCAGGCCCTGGTAGGTCACGTTCTTGAGCGGATTGGAGACGAGAAAATAAGTCGACGCACGAGATAATACCATGCCATAAACGGGCGAGAATAACCTTTCACGAATCCGGCCATCAGCTAAGTAAAGTTAAGAAACAGCAGCAACCGTGTGAAGAGAGGCGACACGCACTGCAAAATACTGTGCAGAATGCAGTGTTGGTTCCAGATGAGTTCGGTGCATATCCATCGTCTGGTGGATAAACTTGTGGCCTGCCGAGAGCGGAAGACATCCATCGAGAAACACGGAGGAATCTTCGGCGAACTATGAAAGGCTGAGTCTGGACACAAGACAGAGGGCCGTAGTGACACACCCGCGAAGCATTGGCCAAAGCCGCCAGCAAAACCTGTCCGAATCCAACATCCCGTCGATGTGCGTTTTCTCTGATCGATCGCTCGAATGTCGGCCGATGTAAGATAGGCATCAGCGGATGCACCCTCTCCCAATACAGATCCATCAGCGAGAGAATGGTGTTGTCGGGTGGAAAGGTAAACTGAGGCGTCGGACCCTCTTCCCACTGTGTTACGACTCAATCAGCATATATGGTCCGGAGATGAAACCGACGATACTGACCGGGAAAGGGTCCCAGGTTTCAGGTCGTCGAGCGGTTGTCCGCGTTGCGCCGGTTGCATCTTCCTTCTCCTACATGTCCTATGAAAGGTATCACGATGAGCGGGAGAACGACCACGCACGACCAACAGAGTATTCGCCAGCGCAAATGTACTTGCTGTTCCAAAGTTGCAATGCACCTTGATCTTGTCGACAAAGAACCGACTGAATCGGGTTACGAGCTCGTCTTCATCGTCATCGACTTCCGCTGATAGGCTCACAGGGTCAAGAGCAGACTTGGGCGTGCCCACGCTGCTCGAAGCCGAGGAGGACGAAGACCCGTCTGCCTCCGGTGAATCCTCCGACGACGTCCATCCGCACTTGCGGCACCGTGTAGACGCAGAGGAGAGGGCTTCGAGTTTCGCTTCGAGCGCGGAGACCTGGGCACGCAGTTCCTCGAGTGTTCTGCGTAGCGCGTGCCTGAGTATGGTGCGCGCACAGGGCGCTCTGGCACGCACTTGTCTTTGGGGCCCCGTTTCTGCGCCGGCAGCGCGTATGTGCACGTCAGCCCAAACGACGAGCAATGCGCACACGTCCCGTCCTGCGTTCCATCGCCTGTATCATCCATTCAGCCCGTATTCACCAGATCCGCGTGTCCGTTGCGAGGCAATACTCACATCGTACTGAGACAGGAGAGGGGAGGGAGGGATCAGTAGAAGAACCGAGAAGTGATATGGGACGTAACTGACTTTTCCTTGATCGGCAGGCATCGCAGCTCCGCGTCACTCGACGCTGCTTCGTTTTCCCTCCGCTGGCGTTTGGGGACGGCGACGACGACGACGAGTCGGACGGCATGGGTGATGGAGTCAAGCACGACGGCCGGCTGAGTAACGCCGGCTACGCGTGTCACGGCATCGGCATCGGCATAATTTCGCCGATATCCGCTCCGGAGTTGGGTCACGTTTCAAGGCTGCTGGACGAGCCAGCGCGTGACAAGTTTGATAGCAGTCAAGCAATGAGGAACATATTCATCACACTGCAGAACTCTTGATCTCAAACTCCGTCTCGATCCGCCCAAAGCCTCTCATTACATATAGTTTTTGCTAGTCCCTCGATACTTTCGACGACGATCGCCACTATTGATCTGATTGCACAGGCTCCCCAGTGAATCCCCACAAATCTCGCTTGGTGGCGGCTAAAGCCTCTTCAACGTCCCCGACTGCGCGTCGGTAGTTCAAGTTCTCAGTGGGCTCGTCCTCTCCTGACCACAGCAGCTCGTCCCAGCGAGGATTGTTCTTGACATGGCCATGCTCCTCGGTGGGCTCGAGCTCAGCCGCCCAGAACGCCCGACGGTTGTCAGACTCCACGTCAGAGCCCGCCGACCAGGATGCTGAGCAGATGGGTCAGAACAGATCCACGACAATGTCGGTGCATCGACCGACCTTTTCCTGGAGCGGCAGCGGCGATGCTTGCGAGGAGGGAAAGGACGATGAGTGGGATGAGTTTCTGGATCATGTTGTGTGGTGTTTCCCGGGCAAGTCTCGCTGACTGCACGCCCACACTCGGTATGGTAAGTTGATTTTTATAGTCCCCAGTTCGGCGTCTCTTAGTACGGTCCGCGGATTCCACCTCCAATCAACGCCCTCTTCTCTTTGACAATAGCAACCCCGCATTCCCATGGTCAGTTACTTGATTACCTCCTTCGCCCTCCCCTGTATCACTACCCTTCAAAGTCTCTCCCTTACCTTTCTCTACTCGCTTTCAATCTTTCTTATCGCAAGAATAGATCAAACCGTCGATTCTTAGGCTCTTCTGCTCGCGCTTTGCTGTATCTGGCTGGTATGACTAGGACTTTTGTTCGCAGTGACCCTGGCAACAGGCTTCAAGACTGGGCAGCAACGAGCAAAGAGCGAACGATGTCGGGCTCGCTGAACAATCAGTCCTCTCTGTTCGACATGCTTCATCGGATTCTGCTCTCACACCCGCTAGTCGTGCAAGAAACGCAGGCTGTACCACACCAGAAGACGATACACCGACACCGAACCTGATAGGCATCTATCCGATCTGGCACCCAAGTCCTGTGAAGGTCAAAGAGTGCCTGCGTAGCATATGGTCGGGCTGAGGCGGTGCTCTTCTCAGAGTTCTCCGTTTGACCTTGGTTGGACTTCTGATAAACATCAACGGCGTTCACTGATACGCCAATCTAGACGTAAGAAGCTCTGAGCAAGATGAAGTAACCTCTGCATCACAGTCGACAGTTTTTTTTACTGTTCTCCCCGTTTAGTGAACTAATCCATCATCATTCTATGTCTAATAGCGAATGGACCATAGTGAAAAAGCCACCTTCTAGTTCAAACAAAGCGTTTGGCAGCCTGGACTGACTAGGTAATTGGGCAGACTCTGGCAGCATGTGCTCCAATCACCCCTGCACTTCGACCGAACGCGTGTCAAGATCGTGTCTTCCGCGGCCTCATGCTCCCAAGCGAAGGTCCCTTTCATCGTCATCATTACTCTTGCAGGATTAAAGAGCGGCAACGAGGAAGCGAATTCGACCAAGCTCGTTCCCCCAGCTCCTTCATCCCCCGCAAAATGTCCGCCGACCTTGCGCACACAATAAATCCTGACCAGGCGACCTTTCTCGGGTTCGGCCTCGAAGGCATCTTCTACGGAAAGTCTCTCCGTCCATCTTGACGTCATCTTATCTTATCTTACTCCAGGGATCCATCTCCTCCTCTTCGGCACGGCTGCGTTCCTCTTCTGTCGCCCTCGGGTGTTGAAGAACCACACAATCATTCCCATCATCTTCGCCACGATTATACTGCTAGCGCTGTGCACGATTCACTTCGCGTTGAATTTTGATAACGTGTATGTTTCAACTGTGAGTGAATCGTCGTTTGTGCAGGAAATCAGTGAAGAACTCTTGCCGATTTTAGATGGTTTCTCCACGGCCTCATATCTCTGGCGAGACGCACAAGCTTATTGGTTAGTAGTTTTGTGATTCAGGGTCAGCATGAGAGCTGAGATCTTCAAGTGGCGGACTCATCATTCATTCTCGCTGACTTCGTCGGGCAACTGGTGTTGGTAATGTTATTCCATCTCAACCTCGAACTGCAACTGACACGAGACTCCAGATCTATCGTTGCTATCTGGTCTGGGCACAGAATGTTTGGATCATCATCCTCCCCTTTCTGATTGCCCTCGGTGCCCTCGGTAAGTTCCCAGCCACATCCTCGGATTGCTAGGGTCGCTCAGTGTTTCCCACAGCGTGTGGAATGTCCGTTACAGGGATTGTTATGAAAATCAGTCCTACGGGAGAACAGGTCCCCACCGCCCTCGTGCCCATGGGCGACGCGACATTTTCGCTCTCGATCATCCTCAACTTCATCACTTCGGCGCTGATCGTCGGCCGACTCTGGTGGATGACACGCGGGCTCGACAACTCCGTCCTCTCGAAAACGCGCTCCACGGGCGGCAACGCGCAGACTCTAGCGCAGCGCGCGACGGGGATCATCATCGAGAGCGGGGCGCTCTTCCTCGTCGTCCAATTCATCTTCATCGTCTTGTTCGCGATCGGTCACCCTGCGCAGGCGCTGATGGAGCCGATCGCCGTGCAGGTCTACGTGCGTGTCCAATACATTCTGCTGCAGAACACCAGCTGATGTTTCTCGTTTCAAAGGCAATCGCACCGCTGCTCATCGTCGTGCGCGTCGCAACAGGAAACTCCTACGAACAGACGACGACCACGTCTTTCGGCTCGTCGAATCAGACGCGTGAAACCCGCTCCACCCTCAATTTCACCGCGCCCAAGGTCCACAAAGTGACAGAGACGAAGTCCAGCGTGTCTGATTCAGAATTCGAGATGGGCCCTGCGTTTGCGAGGGGACTGACGAGCCTGTCTGAAAGCGAAAGTGTCTAATCTGTCATTATTGCTGTAATTCACGATCTTGAATGTCCAATGTAACTATTATATTTGCATCCGCTTCGCTAGGATCGCTGCGCTAATCGCGCAACTTATGTTCTTTCCATCCCTGGGAGATTCCAAATGAGGCACTTCAACCGTAAGCATGCAAAGTCATGACTCCACGCCCTGGAGATCTAACGCTGTGGTCGGTGTGATAACAATGCTACAATAGTTCCGGTGGTATTACGTGGTACAGGTTCGTGTATAGGATACTTACAGTGCTGGGCATTTCATGTTAAAGACTGACTGCTTCACGCTCTAAAACCTCCCGCGAAGGAGTTCTGTCGGTCCTGGCGGAGGGTTAATAAGTAGACAGCCAGAGAATATCGAAACGTACATGTACGTGAGCGGGTGGAGGGGACCCAGGAGCCTGCGCCAAAATCCATCAGACGGACGAATGGGAAACAAGCCGAGAGCGACTCACCGCGCCGAAATTAGGCGGTGGGCCAGGTGGGGGCGCATATGCCCCGTTGGGCTGATACGGCGGAGGTGCCGGAGTCTGCTTCTGCGGCGGGTACTCCGATCCAGGGTGATATCCCGGTCTGGGCGCTCCGTCCTGGAATTGATTCTGCTGCTGCTGCTGGGGATAGTATCCCCCATGTCCATAAGGCACCTCCTGCTGGTGCTGCGGAAGCGTATTTGGTTGCCCAGGACGGTAGGCGCCCCAGCCCCACGTGGGCTGACCGGCGGCAAAGCGCCGTTGTTGACGCCGGCGGAAGGAGAAGATGAGCATGAGGAGGACAAGGACAAACAGGATAGCAACTATGCGAAGGGAATGTCCATTTAGCGCCAGCTCAATTGAGTGAAATGACTGTTTCGACGCACCAATGATCCCTGCGACCCGACTCGCTGTGGAGTTTCCATTGCTCCAAGTGGTCGACTGAGCGTGTACAGGGCTGATGACACTCGTGAAGACGAGCACTATCAAGGCTTTTGGCAGCGTCTGGGGGGGCCGGAATAGCGACATGGTGGTGTGTGCAGGAAGAGAGGTGCAATACTGCGCATCGTGCATCGCCTTATGACGTAGGTACGTGGAGTTGTACGCTTCGGTGATGCCTGCGATCGGATCAGACGACACAGCTTTCAAGCTGTCAGGGACGTCCTATCCGTTAGATCGGACGGATTGTGCCATTAATGTATCCAAGACCTCAGGCATTCGCTCAGACCAGGTTCAATGATTGTGAATATCACTATGGTCTCGGTCGACACACAAAGACATATCGTTCTTTCTCGCGGGTAACATTACTCTCTGCCACCATCTGAGAATAAAATTTAATGCCACGGTCCAGATTATGAATACGAGTTAAAGCAATTCCTCGCTGCGGCATGCAATAGCTCACGCGAACAGCATGATGTGCTTCTCCAGGATTGTATCCGATAAAACAAGACATGTTTGCTACTCGACCTACAGCGTTTTAAGGAAGGTTAAATTTAACAAAAACGTGGTGTGCTTTGCAACCCTTCCTGGCATGTTTCACAGAAGTCAGTAAAAAAAAACTGGCGCGGCGGACGCTTCCTGATCACGTGATAGTTCAAAAATCTCGGATATCACCGGTTAGTCGAGCACGTCACCGATGGCATGTTCTCTGCTCAACTACATACTTGACGCATTCAAAGAAGCGGAGAGCTAAGCGGAGTGTAGAATCTATTTCGATAGTTCTATCTGATGTTCTTAACTCACCAGCGAAGTTCCCGTGGGCAATTTCCCGCGATAATCGTATATTCATCTTATTCTTTGTGTTCTCACCCGTCACGGACATACCCGACCAGAGCCTCGCGCAGCGGAGCGAGCTAACCTAGCCCCCAGCGATCTTTCTGTTACCATTTTGGCCGCATCAGAAGCTTCAGAATCCATCTTCCCGTCCGTGTATTCTCTCACTCAAGCACGAGTACGTATCGACGGCGGCGTTATCTGGTCCTCAGCATCGCGTGGGAAAACGAACGCAGGATGATTTCAAATGAACATCAAAGTGGTGGGTACTGGAACGAACTCGAACGTCGCACTGACGGGCAGCGCGCTCAATCAGGCCGGGGCCAGAAGCCTGGACTCATCCGGCGTGCAGCGACCTCATGACAGTCATCATCAGGTCGTTATGACTTCGGGCTGATTGATCAGCAGCAGCCCGATTATCAGGCGCACTCCCATTGCTAACTGAATCAAGCTTTGTCCTCGGTGTCATGACACCATGTCTTCCGCCGACGACGGGGAAGACTGGGACACACTGCGAGCGAGGGACGACGGGGTGGAGCAACGAGAGGAAGCAGATGGGGCAGCAGGTGGACGACGGTGATTCTAATGGGGAGAGATGACTTCAGCATGTAGCAGCAGGATAACACTGACAGGGGGCCCGCAACTCACATGGCGGCTCATGATCGCTTTGGCCATGGAAGCAGGCGTTTTAGATTGGCAAATTACAGACACTGGGGACGTGTGAATCAGCAGCTAGCAGCGTAAGGACAGACATACAGGGGACTTTTGTACGGTTGCTACGAGGGCCACGTCGTCCGCGCTGGCCACGCACGGGCTGCGCAGAAGGACGGACAGAGGGGGGCAGAGATCGCGGGAGCTCCATGAGCGGTTCGGATTCCACAGTGACCGACGGGAACGACGTCTTCCAGGACAGCAAACGCGTCAGCCACCGTCTGCGCACCACGGGCGGGTCCGACTCCTCGTTCTCAGCAGTCTTCCCGGCTTTCTCCACGAGCGTGGCGGGGATGCCGTCAGGCGACCGGCTGAACCAACGGACCACCCGGACCAGTGCGAGGATGGCGAGCGTCGTGAGAAGCGCGAGAGCGAGACCGATGTACTGGAGGCGGAGGGACGAGAACCATGCCGGGACCACCGGGAGCGCGAGTTCGAGCTGCGGCGCGTCGGCCGGGACGGGGGCAGGCAGAATGAACATCCTTCGTGGCCAGGGACGAAGGTGGAGGACCACGGGGAGACGACGGGCGTCGAGCGTGACGAAAACTTCTTCTCAAATTTCTTATAACTAAGCGCGATGATCGACCGGTCCGACCCTGATCCGGCTCCCGACTCCGGTGTCCGGGAATGAACAGTTCAAGTTGTTACTGTCTTGAGTAAATGAGCTCTGTTCATAGGTGACTTCCCGGTTCCTGAGAGTCCATTGAGCGCTCCAGGTCGAAAGCCTACCTGCTCTAGTCCTTGCGCCTGAGAATCCACCGGCAGCGTTGTCGGTGCACGTGCTCTCCGGTAATTCTCTTCCCACCTTTCCACCACGACTAGGATGCTTCCGCCAGATCAAGTAGACTCAACTTCATCGGAAGGTCACCATAAACATATCATATGAGCCCACCACACTTGCACTTGCGGACGATCAACCTTAAATAGATCGTGCGATGAGCGCGGAAGCATTGTCCTCAGCCTGGACCGTCGCTGCTGAGGACATTTGCAAGCGGCACGACGAAGGACAGCCTGGATGCAATCCGGTAGAGCAGGTGCAGACTCCTCCATTGCTTCCAAGACTTGCGAAACGCAGCGAGAAAAGCGATTCGATAGCAGATATGTCCGTAGATTACACGGGCCGCGGAGATATGCGCATGCTCTGTTGCTCATACTCCTCGCCAACAGTAGTTAATCTAGTGCGCTCCTCATCACGGGCATCAGCGAATCGCCCAAACAAAGGCGTGCGCATGATATTGAGATTGATCGAACGTCGTCGCCGGCCTCCCTCCCACTCCAAGTCCAGCTCTCCGTTGTCGCCAGCTTCGTCGTCGGACTGGAGCTGGAGTAGAACAGATTCGCGTTTGGCCGCTGATTCCTCCAACATCGACAGATTGAGGATGTGCACGCCAAGGAACGTGATAATGAACCCGCAGAGGAGAGAAGTCGTTGTCGATGAGTCAGTAGTGTTGAAGCCCTTGAAGAGGATCAGGGAAGCCACGATCGTGGCTGAGCAAAACCCGACGTAATACACCGGATTCACGCTAGAGTATGTTGTCAGAACGATGCACGTGAAGCGATGATGTTCAAATCAAACGCACAGGTTGACCGAAAATAAATCCAAGGCCTTGTTGGAGTAATGCAGCTGTATCAAAATACACACGGCTGATATGAGAGCAAAAAGATAGGTGCTGGGGTATATGAACTGGTTGCTTGCAGAGAACGACAATTTGACAGCGATGCTGAAGCCCTTCACGAACATGACGGAGATACTCCCGACGAGAGACGCGATAGAAATGTAGACGAGCGGGTTAGTGCGACCGTGTTTTGGAGCAACGCGGAAGGCCATCACGAGCGAAAAAACGGTCACTGTGAAACAATAGAACAGGAAACCTAATTCCTTCGTCAAAATTGAATCGAACCAAATCACCACGGACGACGCACCGGGCTCTAGTGCAAATGCCAGAAACTCTGTCACCGTCTCCAGCTCTGTATCCGCAGGCGCATGCAATACGATGATCGATGACCCAATTATACAGAGCGCACATCCCACACGACCCAGATGTCCGAGCCGTTCCTTCAATAACACCGAAGCGAGAATAGCCCTGGCGATTTATCTGAGCCCGCAATTATCAAAGAAGGATGCACATCACTACGCACCCCACGATCACACTCAGGGCCCCCAGCGGCGTCACCATGACAGGCGGTGCGAAGGTGTATGCCGCAAAGTTGCATACTGCGAACCGATGAGCCTCGAACACCTCTCACACAAGCTGCACCGACTTTCGCCTATGATCACTGCGCGTACAGGGATCAGTAACGGAGAGTGAGTCGCACCGCAACCGGAAAGAACGCACAAGCTGCCGTCCCGAGCCACCATATCGGATTCTTCAAGAAGCGCATGCTTTCCGTCGCGGACCGGCCGTCAGCGGAGGGTGTCATTCCCTGCGTCTCGCGTTCAGCATCCCCGCCCATCCAGCCGGGTGCCCGGCGAACGGGAGCCCACCATTTTTTGGATGACTGTGCTGGTCCCGATGGCGGAGGAGCCGAGGACGGAGACCATGAGGCCGATGTACTTTTGGTTTATCATGCTTCGTGAATCTCGTAGAGGTGGGGCGGCGGGGGAGGGAGGGAGGGAGAAGGCTCGCAGCGAGCAACGTGGTGGGCCGACGGGAGCCTGAAGAGACGTCGTGACGGTGTCCGTGACAGAGGGCCTGATGGGATCACCTGAATTTGGATCTTTCGACCCACCGTCACCGGTGGTCCATATGATCTCTGATCCTCCAGCTCCGTCGCCCTCAAGCGCGTTAGTTATTACCTACGAGTCGCTAGTCTTTGTGTGGGACGGCACCAATTCAGATGTCGGGAGAGTGTGCCCCGTCACATGTAAGTAACAGCGGAGCTGCTCGACGAGCCATAGCCCTAGGATTTAGTCAAATCCGTTTGGCTGTAGCCATAGAAATTGCATTCAAATCTATGGCTGTAGCCATAGGGCATGGCGGTGCTGATGTGAACAACGATCATTATGATCGACAACCTGTGATTGTGATTGACACCCAACAGCTAGGCAGTGGTTTCAGTGAGGATTGAACGGCTGACCTTCTAAAAATGTAAGTTAAACCAATGCATTATCATACTGAGCTAAACCGCTGTTAAACAGGTTGCAATTTCCCTCAACTTAGGGTAACCCGCAAGCGGCTTACCCTAAGTGGAGGGAAAGCTTTATCCTAGTACTGGTTATACCAACCCCTTATCACCCAATAAACATATTTCTTGCCCCAACCAACCCTAATAGAGCCTCTAACAGGATTTTTTTTTTTGCTCCCTTGCCCCAACCCTAACTGACAATAATTATATTTCTTACCCTAACCAACCCTTACAGAGCCTGTAATAGGCTTTTTTTTTGCTACCTTGCCCCAGCCATAACTGAGAAAAAATGACGTCTCTGGGGACTAACCTTTAACCCAAACCCAAACCCTAGCCTGAACCACTAACCTCCGCGCCCAGAGGGGCGCGGCTTGTTGAAGACAGTAAGGCTGATCAACACTTTATGTTGAGGGATCATGGTGGTGCTGATGGCAATGATGATCTTGTACATGCCATGGTGATGCCGAGAAAAGCA